AAAATTACTTCCATTCCTCATTTAAATTGAAGCAAAATACCCATATATTTATACTTACAAAACAAAGTTGATTGCAAAAGAAAAACTACAGAAAATCTCATAGGTTTTGGACTATTATAACGAGGTGCACGGATTTGAAATTTATTATTCAAGCAATTATATTTTAAAACTAAGGTGAGGTGCTTAGTGCTATTAGTGATTTTTCCACATTTTTTCAAATACATTGTTATATATGAATTTAATTATATTTAGTTTAGGGCTCTATCGGGAAAAACCATGATACAATTTAAGGCATACCTTCGAGTATTAGTTAGCCTTCACATTATTTTATAGCACTTGCTAGAATTATCATTTTTCATAGTGTGATAATTCTCAGTGTGATAATTCTCAGTTTATGTTGATAAGAGAGTGTGCATAATTTCATGTTTGATTTGAATATAGAGTAACAAGCTTGAGTATAATTTGTTATAGTCATTCCTTTTTATTTACAATTGCAGGTGAAAATTAGCATGCTAGATGGTGGTGGATGGATGTATATGCCATTAGACCAACGGATCCTTCTCATAAAGTGCTTTAAATTTTAGATATTAAAATTTTTGAAGGCATTTAATTATTTCTTTCTAGTACTAGACTTCATCGTAACATTATGATATCAATTAGTCCGATTTCAATTTCATGTTAAAACTAGTTTTACTAATATTTTGATACATAATATGATCCCAAAACATTTCGCATATTTTAATAAATTAAATTTATCTTTTATTAAAGGTTGTCAATTTTTATTGAATATGCCTATTATATTGAAATTAATTTTTTAAGCACGTTAACAAATTCATGTTTGGTAACGCGACAAGTTGCTAGAATTCTAGGCGTAACTCCAGTAATCAACAAGCATACTTGATATAGAATTCAGATTCTACAGTGTTTAAGAAATGTTTGAAATGACTATAGTATCCTAGGAACAGGTTAATTTTAAAATAAGCAAACTGCACATTGATATCTTCAAGATACTTCAGTAAAATAGCTTCATTGTTGAAGTCTTAGTTAAGACATGATTTGATTGTAACAACTTCTATTATTTATTGGCGACAATGGACGATTCAACTTTATGGCCAAAGCATGCCTTCCCACCAAAAACTATGGGAAATTGTTCAAAGAAAATAATTATGACACACAGAAAGTCCAGATTGAGTTAGTTCAACTTAAGGTGAAAAGTTATTATGAAGCAAAGAAGTGAGTCAGGTCCCTCAAAATTGATTGGATCACCAAATTTAGTGGTCCCAATTGCAAATGTTCTATGTTCTCAAAAAAATGGTTCAACTCAGAAGTTTTAAGCAGATAGTCTTTTATAGTTAAGAAATGTAAAGTGAAGCAAAGTGAGCCAGCCATTGATTTGATAGATTGAGGAGGCGGCTACATTTGCTGAGCCCTACTGGTACACATTTGTAGGCAAATTTTCCATCGCAAGTTGACCAGTGAGATCTTACAAAAAATTGGTTTCCATGGTAGTTTTAAGTTGAGGCTCATTGACACTATGCACATATTGATACAACTTACACATGAGGATTACAGTCAGTTATTCTTAAGTGTTCATGCTATATGTATGGTTGTCCTATGAAAGTCCTTGAATGGACATGTGATTTTCGATCAGAGCATGACAGTCCGATTACTCCAGTATGGGTCTGTTTTCCTTTGCCACATGTTTATACACGTGCCAAAAGGTTCCTATTTACTTCGTGGGGCATTGGAATACTCTTGAGGATTGATGAGGTCACCTTGATTTTGAGGCGACCTAGTAAGTCTAAGGTGTGTATCGAGGGGAATTTGGAGCATAGATTGCCTAGTAGGATTTAGATTGAGCATGGTGATAACCGTGGTTTCTAGCAGCCAGCCATTTATGAGAAGAGACTAGTATTTTGCTTCTATTGTAGACAGTGGGGCAACTCCTCATGTCAGTGTACTTCGCGGAGTCTCCTACTCTCCCAGTTGTTGTGCTCCTACCTCTCATGTCCCCTTCTCCAACTAAGACCAATGGTAGTAGGGCTAATAAGAATAGAGGCAAGATGACATTTGTGGAGCCAAGGAAGTAGTGCGTATCAATTTTTGCTATTCCTCCAATGTTCCCCACTACTCCTGTTGTAGTTATTTCTGTTACACAGATCACCTGTTATTATTTTACCAATGACAAAGCCTGATTCTACATCTATAATGCCTACCCAGAACCCCCTCTAGTTTCTATGAAGATTCATCTAGAAGCTCCTACAAAGGCACCATAGCAGATTCCTAAAGTTACAGATTCAGCTCCAGTAGATCCTTCTGAGGTACCCATACAGACTTTACTAGTTATTGAGCCACTGCCATTGAGGTACCTTCCCCTTCTACTCCAGTTACTACTACTGAGATACTCCCCGACCCTACATATATCAGTTCTCCCATTGAAAGAACTTGTAAATGGTGCTCAGTCATCAAAGAGTTCAAGGTCCAGCTCATAAAGTGAAACAGGGACACAGTCCCAAACCCCTCTCAAGGGTATGCTAGGAGACATTGGTACTAACAAGTTCGCTATCAAGTTGATGTTGACTGACCATTTCAAGAGACACAGCATGAAGATAGGGTCTACTATGAGATTTGCCAATGAGGACTTTGTCTCTTGCTTGGTAGACAGGAAATCAAAGTCCAACTTCTCTAATACTCCTACTCCTACACCTTCACCAATTCCTATCATCATGGTTTTGAATCCGGATAAGGTAAAGGTACAGATTAAGAGTGACATAGATTGTGTGCGCTTGGGAATTGTGCAGAGAACGTTGAGGCAGGTTTACCGTCAGTTAGTGGTTCTGATTCATCAATTGATTAGGCATGCATTGGATATTGTAGCTATGAGTACAATGAGACCCGATGCACCTGCATTTCAACTGGCACACAATGGACCATCCCCCAACAGTCCCTTTTCACTAGGCAGGCCCTATTCTCCATACGGGACCCTTTACCAGCAAGCAACCCTGACTACTTTTAACAAATATGCACTACAATTTAAATAACGAGTGCCCAGGGTGTGCCTCGCTACAGTTTTACCTGGGTACACTTTTAACAAATATGCACTACAATTTAAATAACGGAACTGTGAAACTTCTGATAAGAAACCAACTGGAAAAACAAGATCAATTGCTGAACTGAGAAACTTTCTTGTTATTGAATAATACAGGAATTCCGGGAAATAGAAGACAAGCAAGCCTATAGAAGGCTGGAAACAAGAACAAGACCCACAGACTACTCAATTTCTGCCTATCGAGCTACTCCCTCACTATTCTTATTTTTAGGCTTTAACTAACAAAAGTTGTTACTCCATATCCCCCAACAGAAATTATTTTACCCCTTTCCGCCTCCACTTGCGAGACCTGCTTCTTTGTCCTTCTAGAATATGTGTAGTGAATTGGTGGCTTAACAACTTCATAGTTAACAATGCATATATCTATTGAGCTGAATTATGTTAAATACTTTTGAAGCATGTAGCATAGAAAGATTCGAATGCACAATGGGAGCTTGTTTGGTACAGCTTAAAAATCAATTAAAATTCATTTTTTGACTGTTATTTCACTATTTCAGACGTCATTTTTGAATTCTTCTCTCACTGGTAGGACTCAATTTATCTCCAACGGTCAAAAAATCAATTATTAAAATCCCTACCAAACAAGCATTGAATTTCATGCCTTCTCTGACCATAAAAGTGGACACGAACGGTAAAACAAAGAGAAGGGCAGAAGAAATTGACTAAATTATATACTGAAATTGCGATTCAATAAAAGATAATTTAGCAATAAATATTATTTAAAAGCAAAACATGTATTACTTGTTAAAGAATATTTCTGCTTTTTCTTATTTAGGGCTAAACCTATATCGGTTCAACTCAAAACTTACATAATGATCGAAATAATATTTTTTTCCATTTGAAGTTGTGACATTCTAGGAAAGGCGGAATTTCAGCTTAACCATCCTCCAGACAGTATTGCAAGGTAAATTTTAACCTTAAAATTAGGATTTCCCCACCAAGCTAACTCCGCCTCCAAAAAGATCAAAAAAGTAAAGAAAAATAAGAATGAACATAGACGCACACACTCGTGAGTGAGGCAATTGTACTTGTTAAACCATTTTCCATTGATTCTAAATTTAATACAATATCGAACCCTTAAAATGGTTTTTAAGAATTCCAAACACCATTACAATATTACCATTCCATCTAATTATAGTATGAAATACTCACCTTCGTGTCTCTTTATATTAATAATAACCACCGTATCAGCATGCTATGAGGCAATAAAAAAATACCAACATATATATGTATGAAATAAATATGTTTCATGTTTTGCCAATATGGATCACATACTAACCATATATAACTTATTACCGCATCAAGTCTTTCTTTACTTTTCAATTCCGTTATTAACTTGTAAAACATCAATGATTGATTTGCAGAGGTCAGCTTCCAGTAGTAATATAGTTCAATTTCACTCATTTATACCCCAAAGATAAATACACTACCAAATCCCATAAATTACAAATATGAATGTAAAAATAAATTGTCCTCTAAGAATAGCGTATTTCAACTAGATGAGCTAGTTCTATTCCGGATTGTGATGTGCAAGAATCAAAATCAACATAGTCTTATCATTACACAAATAATAAACTTTAACAAAATCCGTCAGATCTACCAATGCTGATGAAATTCCTTACCCAAAAATAGGTCCTTGCAATCAAATTTTCTATACAAAAGCTGATCGCTATTAGTGCTATAATGCTTAATAACACCACATTATCGAAAGATCCAGAAGGACAATCTAATTACTAAACAAAGGACAACATAGATCCAAGAAGGGGGGGAGAGGGGCAAAAAAAGGGCAAAACAACACAAATATCAACAATTTTCAATCTTTACTAAAAACAAATGATCTGTGAACAAAGACTTGCAAACAATTTTTCTCGAAATACTTCAAAATTCAAGAACCTTTTTCCTGAGACCAGAAGTTCCCGGTTTCTGGTCATCAAACGGCGTCGTTTCCACAGAAGAAACCTTGAAGGTCGCCATTCTGCTTTAACTAAAAATGGAACCAACAAAATAAACAAGTAGATCGATTTATTGGCATACCAATGCATATACATATGTATAGATACGTGTGCTCTGAATAAAGATTAAAGAGCCAAAAAGAGAAAAATAAAAATAAAAGGTTAGACGCTTACAGAGAAAGCGAAGAAGATGAAGAGGTGGCGGAGAGGAGAGAGTGCGAGTGAAATGATGGGGAATATATATGTTCTCAAAAAATAAAAAAATAAGGAGGAAAGATTGAATGTGGGAAGAGAGAAATATTCGATGCCACACGTTTTATTTCTTGACCATTTCGTTCCTCATATTAATGCTTTTTTATCTTTTGTAGAAAAAATTGTGAATTAACAACTGAATATGAATTATTTTTCTTGTACAATCGGAGTTGACAATGTACTCATAGAATGGAAAACCTATGATTTTATTATTCAGCGTGGACCCCCTCTCATATGTCTAATTGTCAATTTCGTTGTACACATAGCACAATTGACTGAATATTTGTTTGTATTTTCTTAACAATTTAGTCCTTGAACTTATTTCTTCTTGACAAAAAAAATCCCCATTGATTTTGTTAGAGCCTTTCATTACTTGGAGTAGCATGATCTCGAAGAATAAATAATTTCTATTGTGGTCATTATCCTTTTTAAGATTTATTAGAGTGATTAAATAAAAAATGTATGAAACTATTCTACCTTCATAACATTGATGATCCACATATGCTTTTGCTGGGAGGAAGATTGGGATCTTATCGATGAGAGGCACTCATCAAGATTTATTGCCACTGACAAGCTTTTCTCGTTATAGAGATAAGCATATGTAGATTAGTTTGTACAATTATTGGAAATATTCTAAAATGCCTGCATATACTTTGTCTATGCTCAGTGCTCTCATATGGAGTAAGGGAGTGATAATGGGATTAACACATTTCGTTGATCATATATGCATGCTTAAAAACAAGAATATGCACACGTATTTGTATTAAAAATTATGTCAAAATTAGCCTAATAAATCCCAGCCTATTTTCATAGCCTTAAAAAAAAAGCCTAAATCACTCAAATATCAAATTAGACTAAATCACTCGAGTCCGTGAATTATATATAGCAACCCGTAGGAGTTTGACGTTTATAAAGATAAAATAATTTTTTCGTAAAGTTGCAGATTATCTACCTTGAGTTCAAGTCCCCTTCTTCTTGATCTTCCTCTAGTTTTACTTGCAAGTGATACTAGCAATCTAAAATTTTGGATTGTTGATGGTTGTGATGATGAGGAGGAGGTTAACAATGATATCCTACCATCTGTAAAATGTAATAGAAATTCTCGAGTTGAAATAAGGGAACAAATAAAGATGATTTTGCATCGAATGATGTAAAAGATTATTTCGATGAAGAAGAAGAGATTGAATTGAAATTCGATAAAAAGTTAGACAATATTTAGGAATTTTTTTAAGCTAGCGTTCATGTCTAATCTAATTGTAAGAATTGATTACAAGGGATTGTAGTATTTTTCATTTTGAGCAATAATTTTTTTTTTTTTAATGAAAACGTGAAGAATATGTATAAGATCAAAGAATACATTATTTTATATATTTATTGTTTTATAATATTTAAGATAATATTAAAATTGAAAACGACATAATTACTTATATGCTTCCCATAGTCATGCATATGCTTACAATACTTGATGCTCAACTAAAATGCATTGTCACAAATTACGCATTTTAGAACCTTGATAGTAGCATTATATTTCAATACTCCAAGAAATCTAAATTGATATTTGAAATTTTATGAACGAAAAACACGTTTATAAAGTGACAAAAATATAGACTCCAAGATTATTAAATTTGCATTCAAGATGTCTTGTTTAATTAAACTATTAAAAGTCTTTAAGAGTCTTGATTGACCTCACTACAAAAGGTAGAATGTGAAAAGGCATTTTAATTCTCTTACCTTTTCTTTTTCATCTGTAAAATGTAATAGAAATTCTCGAGTTGAAATAAGGGAACAAATAAAGATGATTTTGCATCGAATGATGTAAAAGATTAATTCGATGAAGAAGAAGAGATTGAATTGAAATTCGATAAAAAGTTAGACAATATTTAGGAATTTTTTTAAGCTAGCATTCATGTCTAATCTAATTGTAAGAATTGATTACAAGGGATTGTAGTATTTTTCATTTTGAGCAATAATTTTTTATTTTTTTTAATGAAAACGTGAAGAATATGTATAAGATCAAAGAATACATTATTTTATATATTTATTGTTTTATAATATTTAAAATAATATTAAAATTGAAAACGACATAATTACTTATATGCTTCCCATAGTCATGCATATGCTTACAATACTTGATGCTCAACTAAAATGCATTGCCACAAATTACGCATTTTAGAACCTTGATAGTAGCATTATATTTCAATACTCCAAGAAATCTAAATTGATATTTGAAATTTTATGAACGAAAAACACGTTTATAAAGTGACAAAAATATAGACTCCAAGATTAATAAATTTGCATTCAAGATGTCTTGTTTAATTAAACTATTAAAAGTCTTCAAGAGTCTTGATTGACCTCACTACAAAAGGTAGAATGTGAAAAGGCATTTTAATTCTCTTACCTTTTCTTTTCCTAACTTCAGGTATGTTTCTATTTGGGTATTTATTTAAATATGCATAACAAAAATTAAATAAGTTTCAATACAGTCAAATTGGATCACCCTTGTATTCGATAGAATCTTTGATATGAGTACATCTTTGGCAATTTCCATAAGTTGGGAAGACTCTAAATCTAGTATACCACAATATCAGCATATCAAAGTTGTCTATATATCTACTCTAATGAAAACTCACACAAAGAGAACGAATGAGAACTCCCAACACCACGTACAGGTCAGACATCCTATTAAATTTAGAGAGAATTAGCTTTAAGATTTTCACTTCTCTTGTACTAGCAATGATTTAAATTAAGTTTACTAAACCCTAAATCAAGACGATGTATTTATAGATGAGAAAAT